GTTGGTTTTTTTTTTAAATAATTATGTCTAGATTTTTATTATTTTAATTTTTTAAATAAAATATAAAGATATTTTTAATAATCATAGATCTATTACTCTATTAAACATCACCTATATAAATTCATTCAAAGTTTTAGAACTCAAAAAGCTGCCTATTCTGGCAACATAATCAATTAAGTCCAAATTGGCTTAATCTTGTTTGCCAAGCATGCATATTAAGAAAAGATACATATTTGGAAATCCTAAGCATTGTAAAAGAAATTCTAAATGTTAATTCTAATGGTTAACTCTTTTTTCTCAAACATAAAATATTTAAATAGAAATACTTTCAAACCTACAAAGTTTTCTTATATATATGTATATATATTTTAAATCAACACAATATTTTGAATGGGATTTAATAAGTTTTTATTGGATAAATTATTTTATATTTAACAAACATAGTCCAAAAATACATATGATATTATTTTAAATTGTATCACTCTAGTTCTATTACAACTTGCTAGATATGCAATCAAGTCTTTTGGAATTCTAAATAAAGTAAATAACTTTATAAAATAGGTCTTGAGTTAAAAAAGAATCTCTTCTTATTGAACATAAGGAAATGATAATAAATACATAGAACTAAAAATTAGAAAGAAGAATCAATAGCTATTGTGTTGTGTATTTTCTATAAACTATAAAATAACTATTAATTATTTTAAAAAAGAATGTCAAGTAACTAAAGGAATCAAAGAATAAAAAACAAGTATTTTGTATTAATTTAATATTGAGTGATCAAACTAAGGTCTTTGGCTTATATTTAATTAATAATGGGTAATAGTTAAAGAACACATCTTTTAAATAAATAATGTAAAATTGTCATATCCAGTATAATTTAAAGGTTATTTTTGAATAATATGAAAGAAATCTAATGTACATGTTTTAAAAGAAAAAATATCAATAGATACAAGAAAATAATACAATAAAGAACTAGCTTATAGGAAAAAAAAGAAAAAAAAGAAGTAGTTGGCACAAAGTTCTATATTTTATTTGCAAAAATCCTATAAAAGGGATTTTCTATTCCTAAAAAAGTATCTAAAGTTTGGATAAGAAATACTAAACTAAACACAATTGAAAATGATATTTTTGATATGTAGAATAAATCTCCACCCCTCAAAGTCCATATCACTTACACAAATCTAAAATCTTGGAAAAGATACGGAACCATATTAAGTTTTGAACACTAATAGCAAGGTAGTATATCCACTTGTATTTTTAAAAAATAAAAGAAAAAATAAAATAGAAATGATGTATAGCTTTCAACACAAATCTGTGATTTGAACTCAACTCAATGTATCTATAGATTTCCCCATTCATAATATAACATAAAGTTCACCTAGATTTAATCAACATTACTTTTGATACATTTGTTGGGATCTTTTTACTTTTATTAGAACTAGTTAAAACCTTAAGAAATCATATTTGTTTTGATTCCAGTTCACTTCTTCCAGTTCATCCAATTTTTTTCTTCTTATTTTAATTTTAATTTTTTTATTATAATAAAAAGTGCCAACACAGTTCAACAGTATACACACTTGACTGATACCAATCACAATTGCGAACCTATTCATGGTATCCGCCAAACCAGCTACATAAACATGCACACGATCAGAGTATATATATACATATATATATATAGTTAAATATATATATGTATATATATACTTGGGCCTGGAGTCTAGATCAAAAACCAGCAGTATTTATCTGTCCATTAACATGAATGCAACGAGCTGTGAGAGATGAGCATCCACTTAGCCGAGCAACAAAGAATCACAAGCAGAAATAAGCAAAGTCAACAAAGCGCAGAATGGAATCCTGCTTGTTCAGAATCCAGAAGAACGGCGTTTCTAGTTGAAATCTGCACTGCGGCGGTGAATCGGCTTCAGTGACACGAAGCCACAGACCAGCCGATCCAACAACGTCTTTATAGCCACATCAATCCATAGCTGATTGCGCACTTCGGAGTGCAGTGTGGGCTGGTTTCGACGTGTGCAAAACTGACGGATGTTTCTAGACAGGTTAGCACCTCTGACATAAATACAAGACGACATTGCACCATTCGCCGGACCTGTAGACATGTTTGCAATCTGGACGCTAAATTTACATTACACGGGATGTGCGCGGGGGATATCCAGATCGGAGATATGTCGAACAACGTTATCGGCAGTTTTGGGAGGGAACCGAGTATCCGAGCTCGAACTTGGCTAAAGATACTCTCTTTAGAAAGAGGGAATGGCCCCGGTGCCTAACATGGTTCCCACCCCCCCCCCCCCCCTCCAGCATTGCAGCGGCGATCTTATCATGCTGGAGTTTAGTGTGTGCATCGGGCGGTGCAACATCAAGGGGCGTGCCATTCACGTGGGCTATAATGGCGGAGCGTAAGGCGTCAGGCCTCGTCGTCGTCGTCGTTCTCGTTCGTCCTTTTAGAGTCAGATATCTTCATTCGTGATTATTGTTGCGGTCAACAGAACGGACGAAGATATCCTGTTCCTGTTAAGTCGATACAAGTTGCTGTAAAAGAACTGGGGATCGTGGTGGTAAAATATATAGGAACGACGAATGGCGGTGTGCTCAATGGGAACGGAAACAACGGTGAGTTGATGATTGTCTGAAGCTGATGGGGGAGAGTAGCGGGATCAAAATAAAGATGAAATCAGTGTGCTGTAGGACTTCATTACGTGGGTGTTGTATGGTAACACAAGTGGGGAGAGCGGCGGGTTTCACCTCCGGCGGATGTGTGTGTGAGCTGCCATATTTGTGTGGGATCGAGACTCGTGGTTGCAAACACGTGGTCAAAGTCAGTTCAGGTTCATGCACGTAGTATGGATGCAGCTGTGATGAGGTCATGATGATGATGATGCAATTTTAATAACTGCTGGCATCCAGGTTGTCATCATGGGAAGTTGCATCGTCGATGGCCCCGGCAATGACGGTGGCAAGTTTCAACGATCCCATGTGTGATTTTAGGTTGTCAAGTTAGTGTGGAAAAAAATATCCCCAAAGCGTTTACGTTTACTCAGAGGGGATGATTTGTTTATTCCTCACGTTATGAAAATAATGTAGAATACACTTCCATCTCCTTAAGAGCTGCAGAAATGGTGCAGATTCGAAATGAACAGCGTCCATTATGTGAGCATCAGTGACGAGGTTGCTGGGTGATCTGGATGATGATAATAGGAGGACAGAGATATTTGGGGTAGACAAGTAGATTCAGGGACAATAGCGGACCAAGGAATATAATCTGCGCCAGGGTGTCAATTAGCGCAGAACACCAAATACAATAGTGCACGGCAAAACAATGTGACCTTGTGGAAACCAGCGATTGTAAGTGAATATTTTATCATAGGGTACGAGAGGAAAAAACGGATGGGCATTCTCACCATCCCCCCTCGACTTAGAACGTAGGTTCAGTGTCCCACTTGCTTTTCAAACTGTCCCTTGACAGTGACTTTAGCAATGTAGAGGTTGCTACCTAATCCTGCTCAATCCATCTTCAATTAGACTCCTCAAAAGCATATCGTGCAACATGTAAATCCACACGACCCCAGTGGATGGCTTCTTTAATCTTTCCTTTTTTTTGTCATGAATCAATGCCTAATGAAAGGTCAAGCATTATATTCACTACTACTGCAGAATGTTTGTTTTGCAGGACCTGTATTCTTTTTGAACGTACTAAGACTCACCATCAATAACTCAAAACTTATCTCCAACAAGTAGTAGTAAGGTGATTGAAAATAGCATCTACTCTGCCATTCCCGGAGTTGCGCATGCACAATATTCAAATATGATCTATTTGTTTCAAATTAAGTCAAGATAACAATAGAAACATGGACACTTCTGCGGACTGTTCACAGTTAAAAAGAGCATTAGAAAAATCATGCCGCTTTTTCGACATAAGAGGCAAAAGTCAAAAATAGTGGCATAAGAATTGTGAACTGGTATCTCGTCGTTCCAGAAGTTGAATTTTTAGTTTCTGGACGGCTCACAGACAAAATTTCCTCAGCAATCACATTTCTTTTCATGTGTGCAACATAAGGGGTGAGTGGATGTATAGCACCAGCTACTCAGACAGTGGAATTTAGTACGCGTTAGTGTGTCGTACGAGTGGAACCCTTTTGTTTGCATAGACTATAGCAACTGTTTTTCCTTAGACGATGTAACTAAATTTATTACTTTCTCCGGTAATTTCAAAAACGACCTCACCAGCCGTGCTTATGGTGAATTACTGCATGGAATCCAGAGAGATTGAGTTCGAGGTAAATGCACCAGAAGACGTGCACAGTAAACTTCAGATTGTTTACGGGGCATCTGTGAGATCAATGTTGTAGTAAAAGCATCTGGAGAGAGTTTGTGACAATGGAATGTGAGAAGTAGGGGGTGTTTTACTTACGCGTGAGCATCACGCTGGTGCATGGGCTCTGCAGACTTCTTCGGACAGGGACTGTTGGCCGGTGAACCAATCCAGAAGGCAGAAGCAAAAGAAAAAGCGTGTACGAACAATTCAAACAACCAGCTTGTCCGATGCACTGGAATGATGGTTACGACGGAGTGCGATTAATAATGCACGGAGCGTTTTAACATTGTCTTACTACACAGATGATGCCAATCATTTTCCTGCTCATGGCGTCCTCATCTTTAAGTTCGACCTCCTTTCTGAGCGCTCTGGTACACAATAACGAATAGTTGCAACATGATAATTGATGCTTTTGCTGAAGCTCGTATTAAGAGCCAGTTATGCTTCCCTAGGAAAGATGAGGAGACAGGCAGAAGGTCACATGCTCTTTCGCAGTAAGATCGGTTAAGAACAAATCAAGAAGTTTGAGATGTCGATGGCTTCTCGAATAAAAGAAGTTTCCAGCTCTAGCTTTACTCAGAGTGGAATTATAGAGCAGGAACAAGGTGAAAGCCATTTTCACAGCATGCATACCAAGTTTTTGGTACCAGATCATGAAGACCAATGAAGGCAAAATCTTCAGAGAAATTGTATGTTCATGACCCTGCAGGGCAAGTGAGTAAAGTTCTCATCATTGGAAATTTTACGATCACGACCCTCACAACTCCACATCTAGATGAAGAAGATGATAGGAAGTGGTGCGACTCGTGTAGATATTCCCTTTTGTCAGGGTTATCCTAGCACACTACACTGTCTACCTCCCTGACATTATGAACGACTGCGGCCAAGTCTTCTGCATGTTTTATCTAGTAGTACTATCCAAGAGGACAAGGGTCAGTTTGGAAATGGATGAAACGAAGAGCTAGAAATAGATTGCCTCAGTAATAATCCAAAATTGGTGATGAAGTTGAACGGGTCGACTCTTTACAGTAGGTGAATCGAACTACCAGATGTATTCACAGAAAGAGAGGTGAACTCTACAATCACACCTGCACTTTGCGGAACCTATACAGACTTATAGCGTGCATGCGCATGAAGACTTAAAACAAACCTGCATATCTAGACTGAGCTGGAGGATTATGAGTTGGGAACTTAAAGTAAACATGCTTCCATATCTACAGATTCACAGGGGAGTCTTCAAATGTTCGCCTTTCTCTATCAACATTGAAGATCGATCTGTCTTCGCCGATTCGAACCAGCCCCGATAATTACCACGGATATTGAGTTAGTGATTAAGAAATAATCTTCAGCTTCTGTGGACGAACACTACCCTTCATTGATGCCTAGTTTCATGAGTATGTCTTTCGCTGTTTCGCAGATCAGAGCATTGTACTCACTGCTGTGCTGGGAGAGGATGAACGTTGCCATTGCTCATGCCGCCGGCTCCAATGTTCACAATCATCCCAACATTCACTCCATTTCCTCCAAGCTCAGAGGGTGGTGGAATCCTCTTTCGCTTTTTCTTTTCATACGCAATTCCTCTCGCCTTCGCTTGCATCTCCCGCACCTCTCGTAAGTAGAGCCGCACCTGTCTCGCCCCGAAAGGGTTGCTTTCTGGTTTTCCCCCATTTTCCTCAAATGCGGCTCGTAACCTCCCAATCAGAGCGTCGAGGGAACCCCAGGCCTGCCGCAACGGGCATGGACACGGATGAGGAGGATGTGGCAGTCCGAAGAACGAGCATGAAGCGATGTGCACCTTCGTCTTTCCGAATTGGTCCAGGTACCTCACGAACTCCAGCACATGCAACCCGGTGCATCTTGCCAGAGCTAAAGGAGGGCGATGATTTCGAAGATATTGCCCAAAAGTGTTCCAGTCCCGACGCTTCTGCGCCTCGTAGCGACTTGGAACTCCTGTATTCTGCTCATGCTGGTGATCGACCTGCTCTCGAGAGGAAACTGTTCCATTCGGAGCTTGTCCTGGTAATCTCATGAAACCTGACGATGGGCCTGCACTGTTATGTTCTAAATTGTTGTCCAGAGCAACTTCGCCATTCATGAGTGACTGTATCCGGCTTGCAAAGTCGTTATCTCTGGTCATAAACGGCTTTGAGTCCCTGTGCAAAGCATTTATGTACTGTTCCCCGGGAAGAAACTGAAATGCCGTCGTGTCATTGAATCTGCTACTATCCCCAGGGTGTATACTTGATGCCGGTGGAATATTAAGAAGGTTACGAAACTCGGAGGAGTGGAACTCAGACATCATTTAATACCAATCAGCGTTAGCCGTGCAGGTGGTGTGTATTGGATTCAACGGAGAACCTCTTGCACGTCAGAATAAAGGTACAACATGGAAAAGGGTCCTGTAGCATCACGTAGCGAAGAAGCACTTGCAGATAAGTGAGCCTTCAAAATCCTGCAAGAATAGAATGATACGCATCAGAAGATTTTCTTTACTTGAAAAATAATCTATCTATCAGCAAAGGTGTCAACTTCAGTAAACTCGTTTTTAAATTCACCACCTCCATTTCAATTGACAGGAAAATAACTTTTAGGGTGAAAAGCAAACAAGTTAGGAGGCCTGAAGATACATTCATGCGAAAGCGTTCAATTATTGCCTAAGTGAAGTCGTTTGCTACATATCGATGCCGGAAGCCAAGACAAGCACTCTTAGAGTTGATTAACTTAAGAAAAAACTGATGCCTAAACGCATATCTCTGGGTCAAAATCAAGCACACTCATGATATTTTTGAATCAAAGTTTGGATTTTCGATGCTTAGTACATCCAACATAAGACAGGACTGACAGTTTAGAGAGCCAAGGTCTAAGAAATATAAACACTGACAAGAATCTGAAAGGGTTAGATCAGTTGAAGGGTCGTCGGTACGTCTTAAAATAATCCATAATGCCTTCGGTACTGGGCCAGTGATTACTGAACTATGGCACACTAAATCTCTGGCTGTTGTTAACTGTGTCGCAAACTGGCGACTGCGCCAAGACATACCAATACACACAATAAGTTAACAGACGCCACAAAACATGCGGCTAGAAAGTTACAGGTAAACAATTTGTACTACGAGCCAGACCCTGGTTTCAGTGTAGCAGCGACCTGTGGAACTAGATCATGACAAGTGAGACGGAGACCAATTGCAAGGACTTTGAGTAAAGATCCAGGCCAACTTGCAAGCGACCGCTACCGATAAAATTGTTCGTCTGGTTTTATGATTAAAACACGCGTTTAAGATTAACAATTCAAAACTCTAAACCTATCCTCTAGTACTCTCAAGCTGGTTCGTCTCTACAATGCACCGACGAGGTGATTCCTGCAGGGGGGATACAAAAGCTGATGCAATCCAAATCTGAGAGAACCCAACGCTATGGCAGAGCATAGCAAAAGCGTGTCAGAACGACTGTGAATCACGATTCTTCTGCTCATGCGCACTAGAAATTAAACGAGATGCAAATGAAATCACCACGGCTCTGGCTTAATTTCTTGTGTGAAGGTCTAGCACCTCGAGAAAAGTGCGTCGCATTTCAAAATATCCACTCATTGAAGTACTCCTACATAAACGATATCACAGGCCAGAACTGTGACTACAACCGTAGAAAGAGTTCAAACTACTGTCCGACCTGAACCTGTTCTTTAAAAGGGATCAAGATACTCCACATCTTCGGGAGGCTTATCTAAGACAGTTGGCTTAGAGCCTTCGGTGAGGCTAAAAACTGGGTTAGCTCGTGAGGGCTGAAACAGTTGGTGAGACAAGAGTACCAGGGTACTTGCTGCATCAGACAACGCTGCGCCAATACTGCAAGCTCAACTGAGCGCACTAACAAACACCTCACCAGTGGGTACTGCAGACCCCTCTGACCTCGGGTACCCTCGATCCCTTTGCCATTACCAAAAGAAACAACGTAAAAACAAATCCCTGACATCGACACGCCAAACCAGGTAGACCCAATGCATTTGACAGTACCAAGCATTCAAGCCATTTTGAGAAGCAGGCACTCCTTCCTACCTCTCAAACAGCTCTCTGCCTCACTCGTTTCCAGTCTCTCGATCGCACAAGCGTCAACGAGCACAAACTTACACCTCACACGCCAGTCATTTCCCCACAATGCGGACCACTGGCTGAAGCAAGGGGCCTGACTACCACTTCAAGCCCTCTTCCCGTCAAAATAGGAGGACAAAACTAGAACAGACAGCGCCGGCTCCAAGCAGAGATTCCTCCATGTCATCACTTACAGACATTACAGTTCGTTTATCTTTGTCCTATGTGCATCTGGTTCTTGTGTAGGGACCGAATGATCTGATGGGCTTTCGACGTATAATTAAATACAATTTTTGAACAACAACGGAGTCGTCGCTGCATCTCTTGGCTTCAGGATACCATTGCGTGGATGAGAAGAAAAGCTCGATTCTCACGGTCACCGATCACCGGAGAGTAGAAAGCATCCCTCGGAGCATAAGATGACGGAACTTCCCGCCGGTTCGGGTGGCCATCACTATTCATTAAGTTGAAGTTTAGCTTTTCTGCTTCAAAAGAACAGCACCTCAGCTTAATTCCTTTGGTGTGCAACAGACAACGTCGGGGAAAACTGGATCAGAGACGTATTTACCAAGCGAATGTGTAGTTTTATTGGAATAAAAGTTTAGAAATTAGTGCGAAATTTGCAGCCAAAAGTGCAGCAGGGTTCAATACAAAGTATTATGTGGCATTGAACTGTGTGTCAGTTTATTCCAGATAATTAGTAATAAACGGGTCTAAACCTACAGACATCAAAATTGTTGGACGTTGTTCAGTTACATGGAGATATCCTTTGATTTCCGTAAACACAAGGTTTATCGTAAGCACAAGGTCACTTGAACTGCTGCTTGTTTCAAGTCTAGAACCGAGGTTGCAAAAGTAAATAGTCATAAACTAGGAGGGGGGGGGGGGGGTAGAGGTCTCAATGAGGATCCCACGAGCTCCTCCTGCGGAACGAATATTACAAACTCAGCCAACTGGGGCAACTACGCTGTCGGTTTTTCCAGTTCTTTCGCGTTCGATGCAGCCGAGCTTCAAAACTTCCACACGCTCAGAACCCGACTTCATCAAAGATATTGTGCTAGTCTGACTTACTGGGGTCCCCGATGCCAGTCGACATCGCCATGAGATCATGAAGGGATGAAAACCATGACCTTAGTTTTGTCTTATTTCCCTCGGGGTGAGGTGAACCCGAACACCAGCGCCCACACTAATAATTTGGAGAATGAGTTGGCCAGGTACTGGAGTTTGTTACATCTCTGCCACTGGGCAAGGCTTCACCGACGATCTTACTTCAAACATGTTAGCAGCATCTTCCGAGAGTGGACTTCATCTTGCCGAACCAAGAGGATGTTAAGCTGTGTCCGAACTTGCAGAATGCTACCACCAAGAATTTGTCCATGCCCGCAGTATTACATGATACATGATATCCTACTATGGAATTTTCTTCCACTGTAACTTCGTAACCTACAATGGTGTTCATTACCACATTCTGCCTCATGTTTTTTTTCTTTTTTTTCTTTCGGCACGTTAATAATAAAAACAGTTGCATGTATACCACCCTATCATTCATTTTTATATGCGGTTATTAACTTTCCATTTGAAAACACATGTTTGGCATTCTTCATTAGATCTATGTAGAATTAAAAATAAATTGATTTTTTGTATATATTCTGGAATTACTCTGCTTGTATTCAGCTGTAAAGCTCATTGTTTCAGTTAAGAGTTCATTATTAATTTGTAAACAAGTCAGGGAAAATCTCGAATTCACAACATATTTTGGTATCTTGTACTTAGAGAGTGACTGCAAATGATTGGGGAGCGCACAAATATGCAATCGCTTAAAACATCTCTATTATTGTTATTATCATTGATCAGAGAACGAAAATCACATGCTGGTTTGGTGACCAACATTACCAAAGATAAATCAAACAATACTCATGATTAAGAGGAACCACACAAACCGAGATGTATATCTTTACATACCTATATACACATGTGTATCAAATAAAGAAGAAAACGTGTTCGCAAGTAGGAAATGGCAAAGTCAAAAGGAGAAAGGAACAACAAATACAGCCTCCCCCCACCTCCTTCACTCTCCCCCCCCCTTCCAATTGTATAATGATAAAAACACATAAATGAAAGGTAACTTTTTAAGGGTATAATTTTTAAAAGTTTCTTGTATTTATTTGCGCAGTTTCCTGATTGCTTTACAATGAAATGCCCTCCAAAGATGCCTCTATCTCACATGGATATTCTCATGCATGCATGCAATGAAAACAATATTAAAATGTGACAGCAATCTATGGACCTTTCTTATTTATTCATATTAAAAGAAAAGTCAACATGTATTTATAAAAAAACGGAGAGATGGAATAAATAAAGAATAAGATCATAATCTATTTTGGGTGAAGCAACAAGATAGTGGTATGAAATTGTATAATATTTGACTTTAACTTATTATTTCTATGTACTTCTGATAAACAATAAAGATGGGTATGTATATAGAGGTGTCAGATTGCAAAAATATACCTATTCTATTTTGCAAATTTACGTAAAAATATTCCAAGATATTGCTGCTTAGGGTTACTTACAATACATGCAGTAGTATAGGTTTTAAAGTACCTCAATTTATAAAGTTCAAATAAATGTTGAAGATGGTAGGTTTTTTCTTTGCCATCTGTCCTGTTTTATATTCTTCAATAATTGTTGTTGAGATCAATCAGTGCAGAAACTTACACCAACCAGTTCCATGATGCATTTACAGGTACTTCCGAAGATAACGAAACAAAATTGCAAGTAATAATACAAAATTCAAATTTATTCCATGATATCCATCCAATGGGCATAATAGACGGAAACCACCTCAATCTGAGTGCTAAAAGTGGTTCCTGTCCATTTTAAAATCCTAACAAGAAGATCGAAAGTGAGTTGGTTCCCTATGTTTACACCCAGTGTCTCTACATGATGTGTTGCAGGACTCCAAGACTAAATTTGGCAATATAACAGGTACTGACAATGTACTTAATAAAGCTTTAAAAAGTAAATAACCATATAATTGAAGGATTTGTACATCATTTCATTGAAGTCAACATGACCGAATGACAAAGTCTTGTTGCTTGTCAAGATCGTCTCAAGACAAGGAATAGGCTGCTTTAAGTTTTCGCATCCTCGTTGAAAGCGAGGAGCTCCGAACGAACGACACACAACTTCGTCTTCAAGATTCCCCAAATGATCGTGAGATTCCGCAATTGTTTCCACGATTTAATTTCCAAGCTGGAGAGTGTGAAGATTTATGTTAAAGTCGGTGTGACAAGCTTTTTCTACCTCAAAAAAGTATGCCTTCTGTGATGATTCTTGCTCTGTTCAAAGCACAGCTGAGCCGACAACTATTCGAAGTACTACTCCGATGTATCCCTCCTGCCGGCCACCGAGATGAAGGCTCATGGACACAGTGCTGGATACAACAACTCCCAACAGCAATGGTCCACCCGATGATGGTGGTCACGACAGGGCCGCAATACTGGCTGATAGTCAACAGTGTTGTCGACAAGGTTGGGCCAAATGGGGTCCCTCAGCGAATAAGCGCTCATCAGTCCCGGCCATAGATCCAAAAAGAGCGACCAACTTCCCCCCAAATTGCACCCTCGCTGTACGTCAGCCTGCTCCCGAATGGTTTCACTGAATCTCTGTCGCTTCTGTGTCACATCGTCGAGGTACCCGAGAGACCCGTTCACCTTGCTGATACCAGATCCACAAGAGCCACAGTCGCTCGGTTAACGCCGCTACCGCTGCAGGCACATTAACTTTCACAGCTATGGGCGTTTGACCGCGTGGTTGACGACGCCGACCAGGATTGACCCACAACCACCACCACCACCACCAGCGCCTCTGCACTCCTGCGAAAAGGATCCATCCACTTGTAGTGTGAGGCAGAGAAGCTGACAATTCTTACAAGGGCACTCACCAATCCGACGAAAGGACACGCTTAGATTTCATCAGGGTGCATGGTATCTCCGATCAGGACGGGGGCAGACGAGGTCGCGCCCTCCCACAAACAAATGGCTCACGTTCTCTCCGTTTTGCGAGGGCTAGCGCTCTACACTGCGAGTCGTTATATTAAAGAATTAGTCGGTGCGAACTCTCGGTCCACCACGATGAGGTCTCGTGACGTCGTCTCTGCAGTGTTGCCAGAAGCTGGACGGATCCTTATCCTCACCGAGCGACGAGAATGCTGGTGGGCCACTGGTCTCCCAGAATCAAGTGTTCGTTTTCATATCTTTATATCCTTTTATATATATATATATATATGGGAGTCCTTGGCGAAGGAGGACCCCTAGAAAGCTCTGTCTGGTTTACCACTAGCTCGATCTTATATATTTATATATGTGTGCATATTTATATATATATATATATATATATATATATATATTGAGAGAGAGGCGTTGGGGTTCTAGGCGATGGCGGACCCC